TAGTGGATAGATCAAGGCAACTGGAGATGCCGATTGACATTACATTTGAATAGTTGAAGATTATAGCTCTCAGGGAAACAGTAATAGGGAAGGGAGTTCCACAGGCGAGAGGTGCAAGACATGAAGCTATTTGAGTAGAAGAGACGGCTACATTTAGTAGTTTTGACAGTGAAAGGGTGAGAGTGGGATGCCAGCCTCGTAGGACGCTTGAACTCATGAAGTCTGGGAACCAGCTAATGCAGCTCCTCGGAGCAATTGCCATGAAAGTATTTACTTTATTATTAATAATTAAAAACAAAAAACTGGTTCATATTTTATCTAATGCCTTTTCAAATGTCTTATTTGAAGAAAAATATTCGCTAATTAAGGTTTTAATCTTTAATAAATTACTTTATTCAGTTATAAAAAGTCATATTTTTCTGGTGTTGAGTTGTCTCTGTCCTGACTTGTCCCGACAGCTCAATCTGTGGTGTTGAGTTGGCGGTTTTGAGTTTGCCTATATCCAGTAAAAATAACATTTATACAAATGATATATGAATTTAAAATAAAATAAAAAAATAAAATAAGATAATAACATTCAATTTCAGATGAACTAAATATCAGATTAATTAGCATTTATAATGTGCTGTCGGACAGAAAACAAATTTATTCCATGAAAGTCGAATATATTTCAAAGTATATTGAATGATTTAACACAAGACCATGGCAATGAGTAGATATGGTTCTTTAATTTTATGACATGTTAGTCCTTATGAGATTATTTTATGACTAGTTTTGTGTAGAGCCCCCACATTAAAACCAAAAATAAAATAAAACGTCTATTTAATTTAATTTTTATTAAAGTAATTCAAAATTCTAAAATATTTTTATAAAAACAATTTAATAATTTACTTTATCAAAAAAAATTAAAAACAAAACATTGTTCATATTTTACCTAATGCCTTTTGAAATGTCTTATTTGAAGAAAAACATTCACTAATTAAGCTTTTAATCTTTAATAAATTACTTTTATTCAGTTATAAATTTTATATTTTTCTGGTGCTGAGTTGTCTCGGTACTGAGTCGTCTCAATCCTGAGCTATTCTGGCACTCAGTTGATGGTGTTCAGTTGGCAGTGTTGAGCTGTTCTATACCCACTATAACAGCTTCCCTGTTCCTTTTCTGTAAATACTTTTAGACAAATTGTTCTGATGAGTTCTTGTCCTCAATACCTTGACTTCATGAATTTAAGTGCTAGATTGGCAGTTAAGTCCCATTATTTTACTGCTATCTTAATTGTTCCTTCTCCCACACTGCTCATTTGTGGAACTCTATTCTGCCTTCCTGCTTTCCCATCAGCAACGACCATCAAAAATGTAATTGCAACATTAATCAACAAAATCTGTCTCCTTGAATCCTAGCCACTTAAGGATGTCTTGGCTCCTTAATGTTTTTTTTTTCAGTTAGCTTTGTTCTCAGTTAGCCAGTGTGTCTTTCTGGCTTTATTGCCTTGCTTGAGGTGAAAGGATTTTTTTTTGTATTAAAGCAAATGAATGTTAATGGCTTTGATCCAAAAGAAAATCACCATTTTTTGTTTTTCGTTCTGACCAAAAGACATCAACCTTGTAAACAAGCATTAATGGAGCTAAGATAAAAAAAAACACACAGTCTTGTCTTTCATTCAAAGAAGCTTACAAACACATTGATAATCTATCCTGGGTATGTCATAAACTACATCTGCGTCCTGGGTAAGACGATAAACTGCATCCAACAGCAAGGCCTCTGATCAGGAGGTTTTGAGGAGCATGGAACCACCACTTATTTGCTGCTGTTCCCAGATCCACCCTGACCTGGGGTGGTAGCACCTGTTAGAATCCCAGCTATAGGCAAACATGTTACCTCCAAACTAGAGTCAAAACACTATGAAAGTGTAAAAATAGGTTTTAATACCAGAAATACTTTGTAAAAAAAATTATTAACAGCAATACACTTTTAAAAAAAAAAAAAAAACACATATTACCAGTGATACATTTTTTGAAAAAAAATTACCAGCAAAGAAAAATTATTACCAGAAATAGATTTTTGAAGGAAAATATATTACCAGAAATAGATTTTTGGAAAAAAATATTACTAACAATGAAAATTTTGTCGGCATTAAATAACCCATTGAGGTTGATATACCGTAAAACAAACGAAACAAAAGACATTAACAATAAAATAGTTTACCCCATTTGTCCTGTTTTGGCACATATTTACTAAATGTGATTTTATTTACTATTATCCTCATCTTTTTTGTTGTTGTGGCCTTCATCAGGTGCATATTGGTCTGGATAATCTACAGGGAATTCCTAACTGAATCCTTCATTCAATCGACAGGTAGACCGTTTTTATTCTACTGCCCATGTCAAGGAATATCTCATCGAATTCTTATTTTTAGTACTGCTCAATTGTAAGTTTCCACTGAGCTCAACTACACACTGCCCAGCCCAGGGATTGAAATCACAACTATTATGTCACCAGAACATTGTAATAACTACAACTAAGATGAGGACAATAATGATAACTCTTCATCCCAGAAATTCAGACAGAAGGCCATTAGTTGATAACAACAACAATGATGAAGAGAATTGCCTGAATGTAAATAATGATAACTCCTTATCCCAGAAATTCAGACAGAAGGCCATTAGTTGATAACAACAACAATGATGAAGAGAATTGCCTGAATGTAAATAATGATAACTCCTCATTCTAGAAATTCAGACAGAAAGCGATCAGGTGATATCAGTAACAAAGATGAGGACATTAGTCTGAATGTAAATAATGATAACTCCTCTTCCCAGAAATTCAGACAGAAGGCAATCAGGTGATAACAACAACAAAGATGAGGACAATAGTCTGAATGTAAATGTGGTTTAGTCTGGCATGCTATACAGAAACATCATTTTAAGTGTAACACTGCATGCTATTTTTCTGTGAATTGAAATTTCATAAATGAAGATTTGCTTTGAGGATCAGAAGAGTTTTTTTTCGAGTGAAAGAGAAAGACAGTTAAATGGCTATTATATGTTCCCCGCAAAATCTGACTGAATTGAGAAAAAGAAGAAAAAAAATCAGCAAATGCTCCCAAGTTAAAGAGCATTTGCCCTTTTTGCTTTCTTTGTTGCTTTCAAGCTAAAAGAGTTGAGTTAAAAGCTGCGATTCCTGACATCCTGCTTTTATTCTCGATCGATCAATGCTGAACATTTGAGGCCCTCATCATGGCCACCCCTGTCTCCACTACCCAGCATCATTGTCGCTGTCGATTGTACAGCAGCAAAAGTTGTCAATACCTGATCTATGAAACATGCAACAAAAGCCTTCATACAATGAGGTTAAAAAAATAACAATAATAACAATAATGATAATAATAATAATGGAAAACTTTAAAGAATACTTCTCCCTTGGAATTATTTATTGGCAATTTCTTTAATCTTCTAACACTACCATTCTGTTGATATCTATCTATCTATCTATCTATCTATCTATCTATCTATCTATCTATATATTTGATAAAATAAAGAACAAGTAGGAAACATGCCTCAATCTAACATGTTTCGCTTTTATTAAAGCTTCTTCAGAGATCTTGATATTTTATTTTCATCAGAGATCTTTAATAAAAGTGAATCATGTTAATTAAAATACCTTTTCTACTTGTTATTTATTTTAACATCTTGTCAGATTCCTATCCATATCTGATCTACATTTGATCTTCAACTCACATTAAAGAAAGAGGTTATAGTGGTTCCAATGAGAGAAAAGTGTGTATATTAAAAAGAAGAGAAGAGAGGTGCCGCAAACGTTTTTGGTTGTCATGTGGATTCTTTTTAAAAAAATATTATGCTTTATTTTCCATAATTCATAATTTTCTCCGAATTCAGATTACTAACACAAAAGCAGAGAATGTCTCATATCGAGAATATTTAACATTGAAAAACATAAGGGAAAAATTAACTATTTTTTAATAATATGTGGAAATCTCCGCTTTTTACCTGAAGACGGTCCTGAGACCAGAAACATGTGTAGTAAAATTATGGAAAATAAAGCATAATATTTTTTTAAAAAGAATCCACATTACAACCAAAAACGTTTGCGACACCTCTCTTCTCTTCTTTTTAATATATATATATATGTATATATATATATATATATACATATATATATTAAAGACATTTTTATGTTTAACATTCTTTTTATAGATACAAGTATTTAAGTAAATGCTCTGTTTATAATAAACAGTATTAAATAACATTTACCGGCCTGAATGTCCAAGAAATTTTCATAGAAAATATTTGTTTACCCAGATCAACATTTACCTGATGAAGGCCAGAGGGCACAACAGCCAAAATGTTTTGATAACAACAACAAAGATGAGGACAATATTATGAGTCTATTTATATCTATCTAGGTATGTATCCATATCTTTTACAGTTTGTTCATTGTGAAAATGAAAGAAAGAAACGAAGATAACAGTGAGGAGAGAGGATCAGATTGAGATATGAACAACTACTACATTTTGATCCTAGCCGAGAAGCATTTGCGACCATGATAAAAGTGCCATTTCTCAGACATAGTATTGAACAATGGAAACAGAGTAAAGTAATTACCAAAAATCCAGTTATTATAAATACAATAACTTTATCTGCTGAATCAATTTTGTATTATTAAATGTTTATCAGATGGGAATTTGGCTAGAAAGAAAGAGAAAAAAGAAAAAAAGGGGAAGATAGAAGTGTTTAATGGCTGTTTCAGTGCAATGGAAAAAGTTTTCAACCTCAAATCATTTTATTTGTACCCACTTCTTAAAAAAACGACCAACATTCACATTTCTGATTGTTATTGCAATATTTTGTTAAAGTTGCTAAGCTCAAACATTTAACGCTGCGATAGAGTAATTTCTACAGATATTTTATTGTCGTAGAACTCACCATGAGATAAATAGGAAAACTCTGAAATTTTCACTGGTTAAAACTAGTTTTTAATATTCAATGAACTCCTAATATTAGATAAACAGATTGAGAAGGACTGACTGATAAGAAAGAAGGAAATAGAGAAAGAAGGAGAGAGAGAGAAAGAAGGAAAGACAACAAGAAAGAAAGACAGAAAGAAAAACAGAAAGAAAGAAGAAAAGAAAAGAAAGAAAGAAAGAAAGAAGAAAGAAGAAAGGTGAGAAAAAAGGAAGAAAAAAGACAGAAAGAAAAACAGAAAGAAAGAAGAAAAGAAAAGAAAGAAAGAAAGAAAGAAGAAAGAAGAAAGGTGAGAAAAAAAAAGAAGAAAAAAGACAGAAAAAAAAAACAGAAAGAAAGAAGAAAAGAAAAAAAAAAAAGAAAGAAAAAAAGAAAGAAGAAAAGGTGAGAAAAAAAGGAAGAAAAAAAGACAGAAAAAAAAAAAAAAAAAGAAAGAAGAAAAGAAAAGAAAAAAAAGAAAAAAAAAGAAAGAAGAAAGGTGAGAAAAAAGGAAGAAAAAAGACAGAAAGAAAAACAGAAAGAAAGAAGAAAAGAAAAGAAAGAAAGAAAGAAAAGAAGAAAGAAGAAAGGTGAGAAAAAAGGAAGAAAAAAGACAGAAAGAAAAACAGAAAGAAAGAAGAAAAGAAAAGAAAGAAAGAAAGAAAAAAAGAAAGAAGAAAGGTGAGAAAAAAGGAAGAAAAAAGACAGAAAGAAAAACAGAAAGAAAAAGAAGAAAAGAAAAGAAAGAAAGAAAGAAAAAAAAAAAGAAGAAAGGTGAGAAAAAGGAAGAAAAAAAGACAAAAAAAAACAGAAAGAAAGAAGAAAAGAAAAAGAAAGAAAAAGAAAAAAAAAAAAAAGAAGAAAGGTGAGAAAAAAAAGGAAGAAAAAACAGAAAGAAAAACAGAAAGAAAGAAGAAAAAAGAAAGAAAGAAAGAAAAAAAGAAAGAAGAAAGGTGAGAAAAAAGGAAGAAAAAAGACAGAAAGAAAGAAAGACAGAGAAAAAGAAAGATAGAAAGAAAGAAAGAGAAAAAGAAAGAAGGAAAGAAAGGTGAGAAAGAAAGACAGAAAGAAAGAAGTGTTTAGCAGCTGTTTGAGTGAAATGGAAAAAGTTTTTAATTTTAAATCTTTTCATTTGTACCCCCATATTTCTTTGAATAATGACCAGCGTTCATATTTATGATTGTTATTGCAATATTTTGTTAGAGTTGTGAAACTCAATATTTAACAATGTAATATGGGAAATTTACAAAAGGGTCTTTCTAATTCAATTTTAAACTCATTTTAAAAAAATAAAAACAGCTGAAACTTGTTATCCATTTCCAATCAGCTTGTTTTTCAAGCACTTGGGTAAGAACAGCCTTGACCTGGGAAAGCATCCATTAAAAAAAAAAATCATCCTGTTTGGAAAAGGAAAATTAAGCTGTAAATAGAAAATAATTCCCTGTTTTTTTTTCCTCATTTCTGGTGGATGGTCTTTTACGACACAATAGGAAATCTCTGTTGTTGAGCCAAAATCTTGCAGATGGCATAAAATAGGACAAAAATGGCAAAATGTCATTTGGGAGAAACAGGTTAGCTGAGATTTAAAGGCGTTTCTAGGCCTGTAACATTAGCTGTCCTTTTAACCTATTTTAGAATCAAAATTCATCATAAAATTATCTTGCTTTCTTCAAATCTCAAGCAGAGACACAAACTTGCAAATTTTTCCAGTCTGGGAAATGGTGCCACAGAAAAATTTCCATTTACAAGAGTTCTGAGATCAAACCATAGTTAAGAATAAATGAATAAATCTCTTTTTTCTCATTTTTTTATGCAAAGAGATCTCAGATCGTCAGATTCTATTGCAGAAAATCATGTGATTTTGAAAATTTGGTTTCAGTAAGAAAATAGCCTCTTGGCAACTTCAGTCAATTTCACTCAAATGTGACCAGGCTTACTTTGGTCTTTTCAACAAATATTTCACTTCTACTTTTATATTCTTGAGATTAATATTTGTTTCAGAATTCTTGCTTTAATATGCACAGTTGTAAATCTACCATTCTGTGATACCTTGTTTGGCTGTATATCTCAAGATTCTTGACAAAATTCAAAGAATAGCCTATAATGTAATCAATCCTAACCAGGCTTGATTTCAGTCACTTTCCCACCAACATGATGTGGATTCCCTATGTCTTTTTTGCAATTATTTTCATGGCAACTGTTCTAATGAGCCTTTTTTTCCTAGTGCCTCAACTGCATGAATTTAAGAATGCTACTAGATTGGCAAGTAGGTCTCACCCTTTTACTGTTAAATTAACTAGATGCAACCACCACTCCTACTCTAAGAATTTCTTTTTCTCACACTTCTCGCTCATCAAACTCCCTTTCCATTTCTTGCTTCCCTAAACATAGCATCAATTGTCATCTTTCTTCCTGAATCTTGTTCTTTTATTGTCCTTTTCTTCACTTCCCCTCACTAAAATTATCTCGTTCTCTGTCAGGAACTGTCCAGAGTTCATTTCGGACTAAAAGTACAAGAAATATGATCAAAGCTTTTGTCTTTCTTAAGTCATCATCAGGGTAGGTACCTACCTTACGAAAGTTGAAAACTTAGACTATACTTTTTGTACTTTTCTTCCAAAATGAATTTTTGACAATTACTGACCGAAATTCTTCCTTGTCTGAGAAGCATTATTAGTAATTTGGAAAACCTTATCATTAAAATTAATCAGCACAAAATACCAGTAACCTTTAATAATACTTGCTCTAAAGAACCTATGTTTATTTTGTTGACTGTAAAAGTTATGTTTTTTAATTCACTTTTCTTGGGTTCAAACAAAAATTCAGTTGGATAAGTTCAAATTGGCAGCTTTAATAATACTTGCTTTAAAGAATCTATGTTTATTTTGTTGACTGTAAAAGTTATGTTTTTTAATCTACTTTTCTTTGGTTCAAACCAAAATTCAGTTGAATAAGTTCAAATTCGAAGCTGATCTCAAAAATGATCTACAATCTGTTGTTAAATGGGGCAAGGAATAGTTTATTAATTTTGACAACTGTAAAATGAAACATATCTCTTTTAATTGTCTGAGAGAACCCTTTTTACCTTCCATCAGCATGGCTGATGCTAACCTCCAGGAAAGTGACACACTGCATCTTTTCAGACTAATATTTTCAGCTGACATGAAGTGGAAAGATTATATTGAATCAATTGCTGAGTCTGCAGCTAAGAAAGTTGGCTCACTATATAATGCTAGACAATATTTCTCGACAAAATCTATCTTACATATTTATAAATCTACCATTTGTCCTTGCCTTGAATATTGCTGCAACATATGGTCTGGTGCACCTGATATATATTTAGAAATTCTTGATAAAATCCAAAGAAGAATATGCAATGTCATTGGTCTTGACCAGCTATCTCGGCTTCAGTCACTTTCACACCATTATTCCTTTTATTTATAAGTCTACCATTCGTCCTTGCTTTAAATATTCCTGCCACATCTTGTCTGGTACCCCTGCTATATATTTAGAGATTTTGGATAAAATCCAAAGAAGAATCTGCAATGTTATTAGTCCTAACCTGACATCTTGGTTTTAGTCCGTTTCTCACCACCATAATATAGCTTCGCTGTACAATTTCTATAAATACTTTCATGGTAATTGTTTGGATGAATGATTGTTCTGTCTTCTTAATACCTGTTCTTTTATTGCCTTCCCTCCTTAATAGGAATATTTTCCCATATTCTCTAACACTCAGTAACCCCTTGCATCCTAGTGGCTTTATTGCCTTTCTTCTTAAAAAATTTAAAGGCAATATCAATTGTTATCTTTTGCCTTCTTAATTCTTATTATTTTATTGACCTCTCTCCTTAATAGTAGTTTTTCTCATATTCTCTAATACTCAGTAACACCCTTTACATCTTAGTGGCTTTATTGCCTTTGATCTTCAAAGATTTAAATGCAATGTCATTCATTATATTCTGTCTTCTTAATTCTTATTGTTTTATTCTCCTCTATCCTTAATAAGAGTTTTTCTCATATTCTCTAACAATAAGTAACTCCTTGCATCCTAGTGGCTTTATTGCCTTTGGTCTTCAGAACATTATATTCAATGTCAATTGTTATCTTTTGTCCTCTTAATTCCTCTTCTTTTATTTTCCTTTCTCCATAACAGTATTCTCTTATACCCAGTAACCGCTTGAAATGAAATGATTAAAAAAAAAACACTTAATATCAAACGAAAATCCATGAACAAACAGTCCATCATTAAACTGGGAGGAAGAATCAGTCCTAGTATTCAAACATTCCAAGTGTTTATAATCTTAACTGCAAACTTGACCATGTAACGACAAAATGTCATGCTATGTTACATTAAAGGCAGTCTGTAATTTCAAATCATAAAATATCTTTCAATAGACTTCAACAGGAGTATACATTATTTATGACGTTCATTTTTATATACAATAAAAATCTAAACCCTGATTTTGGTTATTTGTAGAGGGACCATATTATATTTATTTTTTTCTTTAACCATTTCACCCCAAGCAAGTTAATAAAGCCACTAAGATGCAACGAGCTACCAGATGTGAAAGAGAATGAAAAGATTTTAGAAAGAAATATAAACCTACTTTTAAACAAGAAAAAAGATGAAAAGATCAGGGAGGAGTGTGAACAGGATGATATGCAAACCTAAATAAACCATGACATATGCATATCATTTTAAAGTGCAAGAAACCTGAAAAGAAAAATAATTTAATATTTTTGAGTTTCAGGATTAGGGTTAGAGTTTGAGGTTAGGGGTCTGGGGGTTAAGATTTTTAGAACACTCAGCGTTATGTTTGTAGAAGGGAAATGAAAATGAAATCCTTTCAGGCTTTCCATACTTTGAATTATGGACATTATGGATTCATGAAAACAGCAAAAACTGATGCTCGTATCATATAGTGAGTATTCACTTTTGTATTATTTTTACGTCAGAAATTGAATCAGATTAAAAAGAACTAAAATAATAGAAAAAAACTAAATCCCATATAAAAACTAAAAACCATCAAAAAAATAAAAAAATAAAACAACCATATAAAACAAAAACATAAAAAACTAAAAAAGTATTAAAACTAAAAAAAACCATAAAAAATAAAAACCCATATAAAACTAAAGATCCCATAAAATAAAAAATAAAAACTTAGCAAACCTGAAAAATCCATAAAAAATAAAAAATCATAAAAACTTTAAGAAATCCATAAAAATAAAAAAAAACATATATAAATTAAAAATCCCAAGAAATAACTAAAAAAAAACATTAAAAATCCATAAAAACCAAAAAGAAAACCTTTTAGGGGAGACAACTCTCCCCTAATGAATCATTGACTTTTCATGGAAAAAGGTGAAGTATGAGACAACAACATGGCTGCTGGACACAATACGCCACCTGTAGGCAGTGAATTTTTTATCCAACCCAATCCAGCTGTATCCTGGTTGGGGAAAATAAAAACAAATATTGTGTTTTGAAATATATTTGACTGTTTTGTTATATTTTGTTGTTCCTAATATTTTGGGTTACAACAAAATCTATAAAAACTAAAAAAAATATAAAAAAACTAAAAGCCCCAAAAAACTAAAAAAAAACATAAAAAACTAAAAAAAAAAAAACATATCAAAAGAATTAAAAAATTTTCTGAAAAAAATGAAGATCATGTTCCTTCAAGGTGCATAAAAATATCTTGGAAAAATCTTTTTTCCTTAAAAATAGATTTAAAAAATATATTCCCCACCCACATCAAATATATGCTCAATCTTTCCTCACAAGTCTTGTTTTTCTTTCCTTATTTTTTTTGTTTTTGCTTTTGACCTTTTCTATCTATGTGAGCAGAGATAAATACTGAACATACTGGCAAACAGTATAAGCAAGAATGTTTGAAGTCATAGGCTTTTCATTTTTTCCCCCCCCTCATTATAAGAAGTGGGTCTCTAAAGTGTCCGCATTATTGTAAGGGCATTTTCATGTTCTGAAAAATGAGACAGTATCGGCATGAATTTCAAGTGTTCGTGACATCATTTCTGGGTTGATGTTAGAGGAAGGATGCTGAAATGAACACAGAATGGAT